CAAGATTAGAAAAAGCTCTGATATTATAAGTGCACTCTTATCAATCTGTCAAGAAGAAGAACTTGATAAAAATAAATAAACAAGTGAGACTTTTCTCAAAGAAAGATGATAATATAAAAATAACTAAACATGTATATTAAGAAAGAAAGTGAAATAGCTATTGTCAAAAGACAAGGAAAGTAGAGACCCTTGAAACTAGAGTAGAAGCAAGAAAGGAGTTGACAAGAATGAAGAAGGCTTCATTCTTGCTTCTATATATACTATATACATAGGAGCTATATGGCGACATTCTATAGGACCTCCAAAAATGTGTTGACTTTGCACAATACATATCTTAACTTGCAAGGCAAGTTTTCTATGTGGGTGCCTTATAGTCAGCTTGTTTCGCAAGCTACCAACATGTAAGGCATGTGGTTAACTTGTTGACTAAGTTTCTAACCTATCAATGAAGTATAAACACATGTAAAGTCAAAGCATCATCTATGAAGCTTCTAACAAGCTTCTCTAGAAGATATTATGAAATTAATCTACTTTTATCTACTTCTATGTATTCATATCACCTAGATAACAATTATAATAAATATATGTCTGTGGCACATGTATATGGATCATATGAACCTCAAGCATTTTATATCAACACACATTTTGAATCATTGCCAAGTCTATTAAAGCATGTTTGTATTATGATTCAAATTCAAGATCACTTATCAATCAATAAAATAATAAGGTTTATTAAATGTACTTTTTAGACAATCTTATCTTACATCAAAGGAAAGAGATACTACTTTTAATAAAAAATGGACATTTTTCTTGAAGCTAGAATACCTTCATCTTTGAGCAATGAAATTAACACTAATTTTTTATTCAACTTTTATTAAGTAAATTCAATCAAGTATGTCTTTTCATCTTCTTATTCATGACATTAAGAAAAATCCTTCAAAGTCTCATGATATTTTCAAGTTTGAATTTAAGAAAAATCTACTATATTTTGAGGGACGCTTATATGTTCCAGAAGATGAAGCTTGATTATGTGTTCTTCAAGTTTGTCATGACTTTCTAGTGTTAGGATATTTTAGATATAATAAGACTTTGAAATTAATATCTAATGATTTTCAGTGGCTTCAAATATAGAAGGCCATGAAAGATTTTGTACAATCCTATGATGTTTGCTCAAGATCAAAAACTCCTCATCATTGATCTTATGGACTTTTTGAACTATTATTTTTTTCAAAACAACTATGATCTTCTGTTTCTATGGATTTCATCACAAATCTTTTAGTCTTAGATTCTTATGACTCTATATTTGTGATAGTAGATTATTTCATCAAAATGACACATTTTGTACCATGTATAAAAATTATTAGAAGTGAAGAAACAACCAAGCTTTTCTTTGACAATATTTATTACTATCATGGATTGTGTAAGGATATTTTATTTGATAGGAGAACTCATTTTGTATCAATATTTTAGAAAAAGCTTTTTAAGGTTTAAAAGGTCGACATAAAACTATCTTTGGCTTTTTATTCTTAAATTGGTGGATAAAAATAATATATAAATCAAGTTTTGGAGCAATATTTGAGCTGTACCACTAACTATCAAGAAGATGATTGAAAAATTCTTTTGCCATTGATAAATTTTACTTATAATAATACAATATATTCTTATATGCAGAAAATATCTTTTTTTATATTAATTAAAGGCTATCATCTATAATTTGATGTTTTTGACTTTTCAAAAGTTGATAATCTTGTAGCAAAAGTTTTGACAAATTATTTATCTGAGCTACATAAAACAATGAATGCACAACTAAAAGAAGCTCAAGAACAACAAAAGAGCAATACGGATGCCTATTATAAGCAACAACCTCATTTCTATATTGGTGATAAGATATAGTTACTTTGTTATAATATTAAAACTATTCATTCTTATGACAAGTTGGATTACCGTAGACTTGGACCATTTCTTATTTGTTAATAAATCAATCTAATCACTTATCAATTACATCTACCAAAATCTATAAGAATCCATCCCATATTTTTGTGTATCTCTTTTGGAATCATATAAGATAGTAAATGTCTTAGAAAGAAGACAAATATCACCACCTCCTACAGAAGTGGATAATAATGAAGAATTCAAGGTAGAAGAAGTCTTAAATTCAAGGTGGTCCTAACTTAGGTTAGAATATCTTATTCATTAGCATAGATATGATATTGATGAACATACATAGAAGCCAAAAAAAAATCTTACAAATTTAGAAAAGAAGGTCAAAAAATTTCATCAACAACATCGATCAAAATCAAAATAAAGGATAACAAATCTTTGCTATAAAAGAAACTCAATTTATAAAAGATTGCATTCTATCTTCTATCTTTGTTTGTAGTTTTTATATAATTATAGTATTAAGAAGATGGAGAATCAACAACCAATAGATTCAATTCAAGAGCCATCATTTGCTAATTTGTTAGGTGAGATATTATAATTTTCATAACCTTTAAGATGACGTAATAGGAATGAAGACCTTCAAGAACAATATATTCTTTTTCAAATAGATGGCAAGATACAATGGATTTGGTATCATAACCTAAAAAGAGAGTCTTGATAATTTATATATATCAATCTTTGTTTGTATAACATTCTTCATTAAATAATATATAAAGATAAAAGTGAGGCCTTCATTACTCTTATCAATGTTCTTTTTGCTTCTTGTCTAGTTTCAAGAGTCTTTAGTCCTTTTTTTTTTAGCCATAGCCATTCTTGTATCTTTAGATTTTTTTAGATTTTTTTTTGTCATTACTCTTTGTTTTGTTTCATTTACATTCCTCGAATTCTTTTTTTTGACACTTCCATATTTTTTATGCTTAAAATCCTTATTATATGATTATAAACATGTTTCTTATTTAAAAGATATAAGATTTCAAAAACAACAATGTAATTTTTTTCACACTATTGTGTTGATAGAGCTATTTTTGTCTTTGGACTTATTTTCACCATAAACTCAATGTAACTAGTTTGAAGTGGTTGTTTTTATACTAGCTGCAAAATAAATATCAAGAGTAATTTCAGCTCTTTTTAAGCTTCTTTTGAATCTCTTGGTTTTGATTTGACTTTAAATTGTTCTAAAATACTATAAGAAGTTTTATAGAAATCACCACCACTTTCAATGCTTTCTATAAAGTATGAGGCATCAAACATGTATTTCATGTTATTCAATTTAACTTTAATTATTTTGATCTTATTTATTCTATATTCTAATAAGCTACAATGTCTTTACTTTGTTTAAATATTGTTTTCTTATTTGTGATAAACATTATGATATACCAAGTATTTCTTCATCAAGTAAATTATCCTACAAGTAGAAATTCAACCATAAGCTAATAAAATAATAAGAATAATGTAAATATTAAGAAATATTATATTATATATTATATTTAAGATTTATGATTATAATTTTGAATTAATTAGGTTTATATTAAAGTTGTAGGTTGAAATTAGATTATTAAAATATATGAGCTATATTATTTATAATATATTATAATATATATTATTTTATTATTATAATATATATTATTTTATTATTATAAGAATTATATTAGAATATATAAATTATTTAATAAATTAAAGAATCAATTCAAATTTCAAAAGATATCTAATCAAGCTATAACTTATATATACATCAATTAACCATGATATAAGTTCTTGTTGCAAAGTTCAATCAAAATAACTTTAAACCATCTTGTAGTCTAGACATTGAGTTATTATAAATGAGACTCATACCTCTATTAAATCCAATTTTATCTAAACTCCTAAATTCTTTGTTCATGTCAAATTTAAATCTAAAAATTACATATAATGTATTTATTTATTTAGAAAAATATTCTTAATTGATAGATCTAGCAATATTAATTATACTAATTCATCACCATACATTTTTTAATTTTTAACTTACTATAGAAAAAGAAAAAAATAAAAAACGAAAAATAAAAACAAAAAAATAAAGATTAAAGGAATATCAATCTCTACATCAATTCAAAGATCTTTTTTTATATATGAATTTATTAGTTCTTCTACGTAATACCACCATGAAGTAAAAAATATATAATACATCTCCAAAAAAAAAATACTTCCAAATAAAAAAATTATCTTGAGAAATCATTTAAAAAAAAATAATGATGTATATTTTACTAATAGTTCTTTAAAACATAATTATGATGTTTCTTAATAAAATATTCAAATCCTACACTTTAATTATAAAAAATATATAATAAATAAATTTCTCTTATATATATTTTAAAAATAGGTAAATGTGGATCTTATTAAATATTTTAAAAGAAAGAAAGAAAAACATACATCCATGGTTTGTAGAAGAATATAAAATATCAAAAATTTATATTTAAAATTTATATATATATATATATATATATATATATATATATAAATATAGAATGTCCTAAAACTACTTATCAAATGATATATAAAGTTTATCTTCAACCTATTCTCTCTAACTTCTTTAAATAAATTATATTCTTTTATATTAAATATTCTAATAATAAATATAATATGTTGTTTTATATTTTTTATATTAAACATTAATCCATAAAGTAATTGTATTAATCACAACATTACCTTCAATAAGTCTCATAATAAGAATTAATAACTTAGAATCTTATATATATATATATATATATATATATATATAATGCATTCATAAATATATTAGACTTTTTTTAAAGACCAAAAAAAAAGTGGTAGAAAAACCATATTGAATCTTTCAAATATTTGATCCACATCAAGTCTCCATTCATGCTTTGTTTTGTACATGTTAGTCATGGCAACTAGTTCTTACTTAAAATAACGATTTTGCTACGATCTTGTAAAAGTCTACAAAATAAATATTAAAAATTAAATATCAAATAACATCAAGCAAGAGAAACAAAAAACGGATCCATGCACGCCTTTGCTGCTGGCTTTTCTGTATGCGTAATTTTCCACTACAGCACAGATGCAATAAAAAATAAGTGTAACACTAAAAACATAGGCAGAATTACAACATGCGTCATTGTGACAGTCGCCTTGCAATCACATAGGCTTTCTGGTTCAACTAGGGGAGAACAAAGATAATGCCTTACAACAAGATTAAGAAATGAAGAGCAGCTAGAATTGGCTCCTTGATCAAGGTGATCAATGTGTAATGGTCCTGGGTGGATACAAATGCAGTTTATCTGTTGCACCAAGATCTGTGCCTAAAACACTTCTCGATGCAGAAAAGTTTTCTGTAACAATCACATGCATAGCTGGAGTCAGCATCTTCGAAACCCATCTATTAAGGTATCCATAATACCCGTTCTATCCAAAAAAGCCTTGCTGATAATAGATAAAATAGTACATGGATCTGCCTTTGAGGTACCAGATAATCAGTAACATGTCTGCCATAGCCGATTCAAAAATTGTGACAACACTACAATGAAAGGGATGAGGAAACAATCTTCGTCAATATAAATGTCATTAATGGTTAAGCAACATTCCATACAAACTTACATTTTGGACTTGAAGCTAACTCCTATTACTGTCTTCAGAGCATTACTGGTGGCACTGCCTGTGGGTATCTTCCCAGGGAATTCCAGAAAATATACTCTCCAGACAGCACCTGTGATGAAAACTCGCAGGCCGTCTTCACGGCAGGATACACAGTGACAGCCTTTGGATCGATTGAAATGCCTGACATGTTTCCACCAGTCACCTTGATCGAAGCTTTTGCAAAACTGTAAGCCTCCCAGCATAAAGGATCCTCCATATCAGCTGCCTGCACGTTCGCCTCTCCTTTGAAAGCTTCATTCTCTTGAGAATCAAACTCCGTATCACTATCGTCCAACTCGCCTTTTGTTCGCCGGTTCACGTCAGATGCAAACTTCACTGTGCCGGGATAAGTCACCTCAGTGCCCTTAGGAAGCCCCCTTCCTAAAACTATCTTCCATTCGATAGAATGGTCTGTCTGGGAAACCGTCCCAACAGATGGTACACCTTCAACTCCCACTATTTTTCTTCGAGGAAAAGGTACAGAAAGTGAGCATTGTTCCATGACCATTGGAGTATTTTTATATCCTGCCATCACTCTCATTCTAATTAGAAATGCCCCTTCCGTCTCTGACACCATAGATAGCTGGTAGAATCCTTGCAGAGGAGGATTTATGGCTTTCGGCAAAGCTGCGTAGCGTGCTAGAACAAAGTTACCCAAGGGTGGAGTGAAAGTCACTGTCTGCTTATCCGCCCCTTGCTCAGGAGCCTGGGCACAGAGATGGAACGTGAGGGAATCAAAGCTTGAGGTTGCAGGAGTGATAAGCTGAACAGAAACCTCAGGGAGACCTTCCAAGTCTAAGCGGCAGAGCACCTCGCCAGTGAGTGAGATAGAGTCCTTCACATCGTCCCTATCGTACAAGGCCGCTGTAACTACTTCATGAACGGCAAATGCCATTCGCTGCTTACCCCTATAAAGATAAGGCTTCCACATGGGTTGTCTTTGTTCTGCGATAGGCACATCTAATGATGTGAAGCCGTTGCTCTTCACTGCCGCGAGATTTACAGAATTGACATCCAATGCCGTTCCAAAAGACATTGCGCTGCTGATGAAACTGCGGAGCGCATCCTTCTCCGAAGACTTCAAGGTAGCTCTACTCCCACCGGTAATAGCAGACGTGGCTGTGGCAGCTGCAGCTGCAACTGCATTCGCAGCAGCAGCAACTGGGACTGCCACAGGTTTGGCCCGAGCCGCGATTCCTGAGATACCGACGCCCATGCCGCCTGTAAGGCTGTCCAAGAAGCTACCCATAGATGCAGTAGAAGTAGTAAAAAGCTCCGGTTCCACCAAATCTCCACTCAATACATCACCTAAGGCTTGCGCCACTGCTAATGCCCCTGTAACGCAAGGCATCTCCAGCAAAAGCTTCGATAAACCTAAATCAGATGTGGCCCCTCCACAGCCAGGCGAGCTACAAAGATCCTCATACACAGCCATTTGGTGCGGTTCTACCATGGGCAGCACCAGGATGAAGCACCCACTACGTCGATACTCCACCACTGGCCATAGCCGGCCTCCGTCAACCTTGAGACTCATCACATAACGCATGATTGGATCGTCGACCAAAGTTTCTCCGTCTCCATGCCCATTTTTTGCGACCTTGCTTGCAACGAAAGATGCAGAAACTTGAGAATCAAAAGGCACGGAACAGTATATAAAATCCTGCGAATTTTGTTGCTCACATGCCTGCTTCCACAACCTCTCCACTGTGACAAATCGCCGAGAGAACACCAAGTTGAAGGATTGATTGAAGATCCAGAGCGCTCGAATACTGCATCCCCGAACTAATGGTGTAGCCATCCCGGTCTTGTTCTCTTACTCTTCTATCTCTCCACTTGCTGCAAATCTCCTTATAGATGCCCTAAAATCCAGCAAAATTATTTCTCCATCTGAGTACAAACAAAAACTATCCCTGATAATACGCTCATCCAACTCAAACGTTTTTCAAGCAAAAATTCCACGACCCATTCAACAAAAGCAGCGATTTCATACCCCAAAACGCGCCACACGAGACACAGAGATTTCTCCGACGTACGAACACCAAACAGCTCAAACCAATTGTACACTATTTACAAACACACATCACGACGGCAATTACGAATCAACTATAGACTAATGAATAAGTATATAAACAAGTACATTTCAGAAAAAAACAAAAAAACAAAAAAACATTAACGATTCCCCTTCCACAAACTCAACAACAACACAAATGTCCCGCGATCACATTCGGGTGAACAGAACTCCACACCTCATCTGCTCTGCACGAGGCCGTCCCTTGCATTGGAAACCTCGGTGAAGCTATAATTGTGGTTCTACCTATTGCGATTCTGAAAAGAGGCACTACAAACTATGGTTGCTGACTTGCCTAATGATCGAGGCGACGAATGCCGCGATTGACCTGCGAATCCCGGCTCCAAAAATTCCTCGGACATGTTACGGCTTTCAAAATTTCCTCAGAATGAACTTCGGCTCTAGTCGTTCTAGTGGTACTGAATAGAACGCTGGATGAGAAATGAGCCATTGATCACGTTCATCGGATTCGGATGCTTTAGCGTTCTAGTGAGCTGGTGGAGCCGCAGAAATCACCGCTCATATTCATTCGCAAGGGTCCCTCTTGCCGCTTGTGAGCACCCGGCAGCAATCAGATCCCTCACCCCCTGCTGCCGATTCTTGCATGTAAGCACGTGCATTTCCGATCCATTTTTTCTCAATCTGTTTCCGAGTCTTCTTTAAACTCCAGTTGCGTCATGGCAGAGACCTGCTTGACATGATTGTGTGAGAGCTTAGGGTTTCATGAAGTGTTGTGGGATGTAGCGTTGGGATCACAACTTTAATTGGATGCGCTTTAATTGTCCATGGTTTGACATTCATGTTGGCTGGCAGTATAGGTATGGCAGTTATGTGTAGGTTTTGTGTGGATCAATAGTACGGGTGAAGCAATTTCATGAAGCAGGTGGTTATGAGTATGCAGCTGAATGGTTGGTTAGAATGCGGTGATTAAACTAACAAGGAGGATTAGCGTTTTCATTGATATGATGTCTTTTGTCCTGCTTGACTGTTTTTGCAGAATTAAAGAGGTTTCGTCAGCGGTGATTTTGCTATGGGGGTGAAGCCTACGGTGGTGTTGCGGGCAATAGCTGCAGCTGGGCTTGCAGCTGGTGCCAAAATGGCCACTGTAATGAAAGCAGGAGGGGCTTTGAAGTTGAGTGCTGTGGGAGCTGCTGTAGCAGCAGCTACTGCTGCAGCCACTGGAGCGACGACGGCACCGAAGAATAAAATAGAGCAAAAGTGATGGAGGCTATTGAATTCGCAAATAATTTTCATGTTGACTATCTCGTTCTGCAAAGGGGCAACAGCGATTTGGCCTTGTGCTTTAGATTGGTGCGAAAGGGTAAGAGGTTGATTCTTACACTGCTTCATTTTTGGCGAATTTTCTATTTCAGTAGAGCCCAACTTTGCTCTTCTCAGCTTTAGAGGGGAGTTTGTTTGAGGCATGCGGATTGTGAAACTGAATGGACAGTTCTTCGTGTTTTGAATGAAGACCAAGAGTTTTTTGTAGTAATCCTGTCCCAGCACCATCTCAAGAAGGGCTGAGAAATTCTTGTGCCATTGATGATGACGATGAAATAGTGCAAAATAATTCATGCATACCTTTTTGGTTTTTTGCAGTAGGGCGTGGTTGCCGAGCCCTCAGTTTGATTGTAGATGATACTTCGTAAGTTTTAACGTCGAGAAAATTGCTTTGAGCAATAAAAGACCAATTTTTTCTAATGTTTGGTGCATCCATGTATCGCTACTGCAGTTATTGAAGATGGCTGATTTCTATTATCCTGATGTTTCTTTGAACCTATATTTGTACTCACTTTGAACAGAACGTTGATAGATCCACGTCCCAGTGATGTTTGCGAAATAGCTGTCTAAAGATGAACCTGGTATTTGGGTGGCTGTCGAGTTTGCTGACAATCACGACAATATGTCGAGGTTTGATACGCCGGTATTTGATTTGTTTTAACTCAATCTAAGTTTGCGTTAGCCTTTTCTACTAACTTAGACTGCAAAATCCTTGGAAACTTGGGCGGGAGACCGACGGCTCTCGTGTCTCTGCTTTTCCTAGTATGCGTAGGATCTGGTTCATTCTGATAACAATTCTGGCCTAATGTAAGGAAATTTTCAGCGAGACTTGCCTGTTGGGAGGAAACGCAAAGAATTAACCGCAAAAGCTGTGGCCTCATTCATGTAGTAGAAGTTGTTCGGTCTGTGCTTTAAACAGGCTCAGTAGAATACTTGTTTGGAGATTGGTGACGGTATGAAGGCTTGCGTTGTCAAATGAATTTAAGTCTCGACCGTTGCTTTGGTCTTCGTTCAAGTTTGTAGTCGCGCTCCAGTTTATTTAGGCAACCAAAGATACAGGGTGGTGGTGTGCTTGCTTAAAAGTTGAGGCTGGCCGTTGTGTCCCGTTAGTTTTAGGATACTGAAGAATACATTATGCCAGGGACGATCAAACAAATGCAGTTGGATGTCGTGGAATAAATTGAAAGCTCTACCAAATCACGCTAGAACCAGGAAGTTGTGTAGAGAACGCAAACATAGCATCGCCTCAACCCTCTCCACGCAGTCTTTGCTACCGCATCGTTCGCTGAATTTCTGGCTACCAGCGAATCTGTAGTCGACCTAATACATTCAACTTCGAGACCATGGGACGATTCGTTTCTAACTGCACATTTCCTGGATACTCTAGAAGGTTTTGGTAGACTTCGACAAGACTTTAAAATTGGCAGTCGAAATTTAAATCACAGATTGCTGCCTGATCCGCAACCACTGTGAGGAAATTGCGGTTCTTGTGGAAGCGATTTTCTCAACCCAATGTGAAGACCATGTTCCGTTCATGTTTATTACAGTTATGCTTGCGGAGGTTGTGTTTATGCTTGTCATAGATCAGTTCTTCAGTACTGTTTCACCTGATATTTTGCACAGAACCGTTGAGCGACCAAGGAAATCACTTGTCTCCAGAGCTCGAGTACACGTCTTATATGGCACTTGAATCCTCACAACATTATGTCAGGAAACTCGGGTAGAATCTCCTCAGCATGCCCTGAAGCTGGTTAGGGCCAATGAGTAAGCTTTCAGGGTCCCATATCTTTTCGCCTAGTGAAAACTAGTATCGAAATAGACGCACAACCACGACCGCGCTGGAGAGTCCTCAAACTCAAGTCATCTCAGCACAGGTGGAAGGCCGGAGATGACAAAATTAAAATAAAAAATAAAAACATGCCTGCTCCTGCTCGGAATTCCACAACTCTATCACAAACCGACTGATTATCCATCTACACAATGCACAAGGTGGAAATGCCTGATTCAGGTTTGCTCTTGCAACTGCTTCGTCAACTACATTGAAATGAGACCCTTTGTTCTGAACCGCAAAGAATTTTCATACAATGTTTTGTCTTTTTGAACCCTTAAGTAATGGATATACAAAGAGCTCAAGCTTGAGCTGTAGGACATAGACAACAGTTGCGGATTTGAAGTGGCAAAAACCCGGAATTGAGTTATACTCCGGTTGGGAGCTAAGGGGTGCTACTCTTCCAAAAACCACGTGTGGTTTAAGATGCGATAAACTTATTACATGTTTATCTCAAACAAAGAATGTCAAAATAAAACAAAACTTTCTTGTTTTTCAAGAAGAGTTGTATTAACTGATTCAGTTGAACTAATGATATATTCGTAGGAAAATTATACCTCGCAGACACGCCAACATCCCTGACATTGTGCAAAACTTCATTGAGTTTGAGTTGTGAAGGTGCGCTCTCAAGCGGGAGCTGCATGAGGTCTTCCATGCAATTTGGTTTCTTGACAGTGTTCGCTTCATCATACAGCGAAATTCTATGTGAGAATCTAAAGGTTTCTGTCACAGTGGAAGCAACAGGAAATCTTCATGGGACAACCCAAGCGACGAATCGAGGAAAGTCGTCTCCAGGCATTATCACGGACATAGATATAACCTGCAGCCAGATTCAAAGTGACTTGAGATCTTCCCATCTAGTCTTGTATTGCTTCGACATCATCACAACAGCTATAAAATTTCAGGAAAACAGGAAAATAGTTACCCTTGGAGGATCATTGGTGCTGCGAGAATCCACAGAATCTTGAAAAGAATTCGACGGTGACGATGATGGCATGTCGTCGAGAAGCTCCGTCGAATGTCTTACACTACGAGCCCGCGATTGAAGCCTCAATTGCACCTCCCATTGATAGCAGCAGCAGAGGATGGCACCGACAGCCATCACGATGAGGATAGCTAGTCCAGATACCAGGGCGAAATTCGTCCTCGAATACTTGGGAGGCGATGGATTCATGAGAGGAGGCGGAGCATGGGTGGCCTGCAGAGCCTTGCCTTCCACCGACAAAGATTTCCACTCAAACGATGCAAATTGAGCTTCCATTGCATTCGATACCTCTTCACTGACAAAAAGAAAGATGAGTATCTAAGAACTAGTTCCAACAACTTCATTCACTTCGGATAGACCGTTGGAAGGGTCAGATTTGACACCCTGAGGAAGCTGCAACTAGGAGATACTTTGTGATATCACAAAAGGAAGTGCTACGAATTAGTAATGATGGCAGCTGTGGAACAATATCTGCAGCAATTGATTCCAAGAGAACTTCACAGAACCATACTCATCTTACTATTAGTATAGTGTAGTTATCTTACATGTGAAGGTCAAGGATTTGTCCCTCTTCGTCACACTTGGGATGAATTCACACTCGAAATTGCTAAACCTCCTAATTTATATAGCTGCCGGTGCTCATCCAATCGAGTTCTCCACATGGGCATCTTCTGAAGAGCTTTCTAGACCGTTTCAAAGGCTCTACGCTCTTGCAACTTTGCACCGGAGGCCTACAGAAGGTTCTCTGAATCACTGGGCTACGTCTTCGAAGTGCTCACATGAGCTGATCAAGCATGCTGCGTAGCCTACAAATATCCTTTTAACTTATCAAAAGTGGAAAATTTCGACGACACCTGGCAGATACAATACATAAAGCGAGCAGAACTAATGTTGTATCCCAACTATGCCGGAAAATGTGAAGCACATGGACTGCACTGCGGAACCACTGTGCACCTCTCAAGTCTAAACTCATCAAAATGAATCTTCTCTACGAAGATCGTCACCTGCTCAACGCTCTCCTCTGAAGCCAAGCGTGCCTCACAACTGTCTCCATAATCATGGAAACATGCAATTCCAGAGCTGCTTGCTGTTGCTCGCCCACAAAATATACTGTGAGACCCAATCCGGCCATCTCAACACACAATCTGCAAAATCCAAGACCCCTTAAGACGAACCTTCGAATCAGGTTTAACCTCACGCTTTCAGTAAGACTAGATTTATCACAGCGATTGTCCAGGACTTTAATGCACAGCTTTGCATACGGCCCTTGTGAAGATCTGACCTTCATAGACCATCGACAGGTTCCATAACGTCCACTGGGAGCTCCACATCGTCCAGCTCGTGTGGGGTGCCATCCATCAAGCAGGTGGGCCTGGGGGGGACGGCAGACAGGAGATGAGGCAAAAGATCCTGCGAAGGCTCTTCGCCGTGAGCTAATTCCAACACGTTACGACTTTGGGCGACGTCTGCAGGCACTCAAGAGGTGCTGCGTGGCACTGGGTTCCAGAAACCAAAGCCACCACCGTTCCAACCCTTTTTAACACCTGAAAACAATCTAGTCGTATAGTCGCGCTTATAATACACCCACCCACCCGCGCTCTCTCACGCCGACCTGCTTCCTCATCTCTCCCTCTTCCTCCTCCTCCCCATTCCCAGTCTTATCAGCTTCACCATTCTGGATCCCGGCAGTTGCCATGGTTATCAGATCCACGAGGATTCCGGGGGCATTGACTTGGGGGCGAACAATGCGGACCGGGATGCGACGCTGAAAGGACTTCTTCGGTGAGCGCTGAGTTTGATTGACCTCCATCCAGCGCGGCTCGTGATTTCTACTCCCCCACAAATTTATGAGCTTGCGGTGATTCTCTCCCTCCATGCAGTGATTCTTCATGCTGAGTGCTTCTTTACATGTCTTCCATTTTTGTGGGTGATTCTCTATGGGGTGACATGTTGTCCGGGGCAGAATTCTGTCCTGTGTGTGTAACTTGAGTTTTTGTAAGAGAGAGTATGGGTTATAGACTTCTGTATATCCTAAACCTGGCCGATCGATCGCAGCAAGATTTTCTGTTCACAGGAGATTGAGTAATATTACAATCATCTTAAAAACTAAAAAATTTAGACTGGTTATATCTCGTAAGGTGGTAAACGTAATGGAATAGACCCTAACCCCCCCCCCCAAAAAAAAAAAACTGTACTTTTTAAACTATTAAGTTTTAGCTATTTAAATCTTTAAAATTGCTTTTAAGATGTGATGTAGTTTTCTTTATTTCTTACGTCTTTTCATTTAACGGTAAATACATGCAGCAGGTAATTTTTGATTTTCTAAAGTTTTTAATTGTCCAACTCAAGTTAGACCATTTTTATATCCAAAAATAAATAAATGTGAAGGTAATAACTACAAAGTTTACAGAAAAGTAATGCAAATGTCATAAAGCTCAAAAGAAAATCTATACCACTTTGTTGATGTGAATTTTATGCAGATTTAATAAAACTTTAAAGTATAATATGGTTATATTTTAAATAATATGTCAGATTTTATATTATAATTATTGATTTTAATAAGTTCTATACAAAAAAATATTAAAAAAATAACATATCAAATTTATATCTACAATGTTTATTTTAAAATTTTCAAAATGATAAAACATGCATTAAAGTGCTATTATTTATTTTTTAAAATAATTTAAATGAAATTTACCTTAATATTTATTTATTTATTTATTTATTTATTTATGGTTGTGTATTAATTTGATCATCTTATATTATACTCATTATATTGTTGAACCACTCAATTGTGGAATTATTTATTTTAAAAATAATTAAAAACATGTTAAAAAAAGATAACAATTTTGTATATAATAGTTTAAGTTGCATTTATGGATAATTTGAAAAAACAAAAATTAAACTAAAGCTTAAAACTTAAAGTCATAGCATTATCACTTTAGTATTTATTTAATAAAACAAGTTAAATTATTCTAGTCACAAACTAATATATTGCACATGATACAATTATATAAATTAATTTTCAATACTATAGTTGAGATACATATCAATTTTTGTACTGGTATTAGCACCTCAAATCTATTATAATATATTTCTTAATAAGTTTTTTTTTAAAACATTATTTTATGAACTGATGTTAACATGGATTGAATATGCTAAAATATCAATTTGAGGTATTTTGCTGAAAATTATTAATATTAAAAGCTGCATACATCCTAAAGAATTGTATTAACTATCTAAATCTGATTTTTAAAACAAGTAAATGATTTTTTGTTTTTCAAAAAAAACATGATAATTATTTATTTATTTTATAACTATAATTAACTTAGATTAATAATGATTTTTTTAATATTTAAAATATTTAAAACTATTTTGATGGTATTTTTAATTTAAATCTATGAATTAATTTTTATTTTATTATGTCTTTAAGTTGTTTACCTTATATATTTTATTTTAGTAATCATAAAAATATATATCTATATGTATATATATATATATATATATATATATATATATTTATTTATTTATTTATTAAATTTTGCTAAAGCGATACGTCCATATTATGAATGCAACACCTCAAGGTGGATACATGATTATTATAAATGTCGTCACTATAGCATGCATATTGATGTTCATCATTTCTTGCTTATTGTGCAAATACAACAATGTTTGGCTTGTATAAATATACGCTTCTCCATTCTTCATCCTCTTAATATATATTTATTCCTCTCTAGACCCTCTTTCCATTTATGTAATCTATTAAAGTTGATACATACCACATTTCTTATAATACCAATGTTGACTTAGATATATCTTGATATTATGTCCTATGTGGCTATATATCTTACATTGTCTCTATTATCCTTCTACAACTTTAAAAAAAGATGAACATCTTTGTATACAAAATTTTAATTTAATAAATTAAGATGATGTTCTTTAGAACATTGGCAATTTTGCTCATTTAAAGCATAATTGGGTTAGGATATCAATTCTACTCAAATCAATTGTGTCTTCTCTTGTTAATTAAGATCCAATATATGCTATATATCACTCAATTGATTGAAAAAAGCTTCAATTGTTGGAACATTTTTCTAAATAAAATAATTAAAAAATAATAGCAATAGCAAAGGAGGATCAAGATACCATTGTCGATAGAATTAAACTAGTAGTAGCACACCATTGGTTGCAAGTTTTTCATGCAATATATGTTTGTATGGCATACCAAAAGTGGTGGTAAATTGTCTTGTACACTTGTTAATGGTAGCATCCTATTTATATGATGTGTCTACTAATGCACATACTTTTGTAGTGGAAAATAAGAAAATTTATAAACTACATTGTTATAGAAGTATCTACTTAAATCAATCTATGTTTAGACTTTTTAATCTTTATTTTTGTACTAAAAGTTTCTTTTTTTAATATTCTACATATATTGTAATCTTGTATTGGATATCATAAAAGTCTATTGTAGAGACTTAAAGCCACTTTTTTAATACAACATAGATCTCTTTCATCCCTCATATATTATTATTTTTAAAATATAAGTACCAAAAGGACTATACAATAATATTACATTATTCCATTGGCAATCAAGTTAAATAATTATACAACTATCTACTACTTGATTCCAATATTATATGAAGATTATCCTTTCATTTACAAAAAATCGTTTACTATAACTTTTGATGGTGTTCCAAATGTTTTATTTGAAAGAAGTTATGATGGCTTCAACAATGATCAAATAAGAAGGTGGTTTTTTTTGCCCTAGTATGAGAGACTATTGATGGCTGAGAGGATCTATCAACCATCTTCAAAGAGAATAAAAATAAAAGTATGTAGCAAATACAATTTGTCGCATGTTGGATTTCTTCAACATATGAAGATTACTCTTCTTTGAACTCATCCCTAAAAAGAAGGATAATATCATGGATATACATAGATATTCTAGTAAATACCTATAAAATTAGGTAGTAGTATGTAAAAATACATAATAGTAGGTTAATTTTATAATACCTTGTAGGGAAGCTTCTTAGAAGCTTTATAGATGTTGCTTTGACTTTACATATATTTGTAGTTGATTGATAGATTAGAAATTTGCTCAATAAGTTAACCACATGTTGGTAGCTTATGGATCAAGTTAACTATGTGGTGCAATTATAGAAAACTTGACTTGCAAGTTAAGATACGTGTCTTGCAAAGTCATTACATTTTAGAGGTCTTATATGATATCACCATATAGCTCCTAATTAAGAGTATATATAGAAGCAAGAGTAAAACCTTCTTCACTCTTGTCAATGCCTTTTTAGTCCTTGGTCTTGTTTCAAGACTTTCTAGTCTTCTTGTTTTTGGCAATAGCCATTCTAATTCAATATGATATCATCTTTGAATGACTTTCTAGTTCCTTTTAGCGACACAAGAGTGTATTAAGGATTTTTTTTTTCTTTGAAATTCATATCCTTGAAAGAAGCATAATCTATGCATAAAAAAGCTATTTCACAATTTCTTATGTCATAAAGAATAAATATCTTGTAATATCTTGAATAGATATAGTGAAAAAAGGTGGATAATTGTAAGTAGAATTTTGAATAAGATCAAATTCAACAAACTCTTTGATATATAAATCAAGCAAGCTAATACAAAGGGGTATACTTTGGTATTTTTATTTGATTATTGTTTTATTTACATGTTCGAAATCATAATGTACTTCAATCAAATTCAAGCATCAATAATCAAATTCTTTTTATAATAACATAGTCTTAAAAAAATATAAATAATTGGACACTTTGAAAAAAGTTGACTGATATAGTATACTTGCATTTGGATAGTGGAAGCATTAGAAGTGAGGATTTAATTTGTATGCATAAGTAAAAAATAATAAGAATATTTTTTGAACAATTATAGAAAGCTAGATCTAATAGGAGAATAAGAATTTGATGAAGAAAGAGAAGTTAGAAGCCACAATACTTAGCATTAAGAGGGTTGCACACAAACAAAAGTATGAAGTAAAATAACTTTCACTTCCAACAATCTTTACTTATAGTTGAAGTTTACATCTATTATAGATGAACTTTATCTACAATGTTTTTAATCTTTTTTTGCTACATCCAACTAAATCCTAGATTCTTCTTAATCTAGCCACCATCTAGAATTTTAGCTACTACTATAGTAACTTGTTTCTAATGCTTTGTTATCTTTTGACTATTAACAACTTAATATGGTTTAACTCTATGTGGTAGCAATTATGCAAGATCTTTTTAATCTTCAACAATCCCACTTTGCTAATTTTTAAAAAGCTTTCAAGCTTAATATCTTTATCAACTTATAGTGTCTATTCTTTACTAATTCTTTTCTAAGCTCATTAGTAAGCATGTCTTTTGTAGTACAATACTTCATACTTAATATATCATCTTTAATTTTTTTTATATGACATGATGTTGAATACCAATGTCTTTGGTTCTTGAATTGTGCTTCAGATTTTTGGCAAATGGAAGACATCCTGATTATGACATATTATTGGAGTTGCTTTCAATTGTACTATTTCAATATCTTTTAAGAATTTTCTTATTCAACATCTTTTTATTGCA